GCGATGATTGGACTAAAACTAGGTTGACAAATGTATGGGTTAATCTTTAGCTAGCAGGTAAATCAATTCAACTAGGGAAATCCAATTTGACTATCAAAGCGCACAGTGTGCTCGTCGGGTTTTGCGCTTTTCACAATCCCGTTTTGCTTTCGCCTCCTTCCTCATATATATATATATGATATATCATGTTTCAGCGGACGTTGGTGGCAACCTTGGTCTGTTTTTGGGATGCAGTGTTCTAACAGTCTTCGAAATATTTGATTTCATCGTATGCTATTGCTTTGGCAAACAGAGGGCTAGCTTTGAAGTGGAACAAGTCAGAGAGACAAATGAAAAAATGTAGTTAAAGTCAAAGTGAACTTACTTTTAGTAAAATACTGCTTTCTGACTTAGTTTTTAGCTAATTACTATCAGTACTGCTTTTTATTTAATATAGTTAAAGAATAATTAATAAATCTATTATCTACTGACTGATTTAATTGAGATGTTTAGAGTATAACGGAACAGAGGTTTTTCGTAATGGTAAAACAAACTATTCCCATTTCGACCTATTGGAAATTCAGGGTAAAACGTTTTGACTATTACAGAATAATTCCGAACAAAAGCACCCAATAATCTAAAATCTATCATTCTATTCGAAAAGGATGTGAAGAGTTTGAAATCATGATAGACAGTTCTCGAGACTCACTGAAAAATTAGTAAGATGATAATCGTGAAAAACACATGGCAGATGTTTTTGACCTTTTCTGAATATGATTTTGAAAGTTTCTCCAATAGACTGCGGGACGTCTGTCGAAGTTAATTGGATTTTAAACAAAACGGAAAAAATGAAATTTTCATATCTTCTGAAAAAATTGGTTGCCATCATATAGTTATTGTTGATGTCAGGCGTATTTGCACTTAGGAGAGTTATTCTGTTTTATATTATTGATAAAAAAGAAAGCCTTTTTGCCATTTTGTTCTCGAAGACATCTTTATCATCTAATTCACTTATAAATAAGTGTTATCATAGCAACCTGTCCTGTTGTTGCTGTTAAACTTCACTAATTGTGATGACTATTAATATAAACTGTATAATAAATTTTGATAATCAAACGTCGTGAAAAATCATTTTTGAGCCGGATGCTTAGGAATTGTTTGTCAATACCGCTGGAAACCCATTTTAATGATATTGGCATTTGGTTTTAGTGATAATTGAGTGAAGACCGTGAAGCATTTCGGTATTGTAGGCACCGATGCAAACGACTTCATTCAATGCGTGAGTGATGCGGTTTCAATTTATCAATGACGTCTAACCGTCCAACGACAATGAAGGAGAACGATCCAAATCAACACAAACCAAGTAAAAAAAAGAATTTAAAGCAATGAATTGAAGATTTTTCTGGCTACACTACAGTCCATGGAGTTCACTTGTCATTGGACCTGACAGAGGGATTGTACGTCGAATTTTCTGGTTGCTCTTGATCCTGACAGGTTTGGGGTTCTTGTCGAAGCAACTTGTAGAAAGCTATAAAAAGTTACAAGCGAAAGAACATGTTATAACAAGAGATATCATTCCCACCAAAAAACTAGTTTTCCCAGCGATTACTTTTTGCAATCTAAACATGATGAGNGAAACTGATGAAATGTTGGAATAAATGTATGCAGACGTAGATGAAGAGCCATTGCTCTGATTAATCAGTTTAGTCTATGTTTGTTTTTCTTTTTCTTCAGCGGATGTTGGTGGCAATCTTGGTCTGTTCTTGGGATGTAGTATTCTAACATTTTGCGAAATATTTGACTTGATCATAAGCTACGTTTTTGGAAGACAAAAGCCTAAAAACCAGGTAGAACAAGATTCCTGTGTCAAAATAACGGGTAGAACAAGATTCCTGTGTCAAAATAACGGAGGAAAACTTGTAACTAGTATCATCCAAGATAGCGAGTGGAGGTCGTAAAAGAGGGCGATTTGTTAAATATTAATCCATTATATTTGCGGACAAATTATGCCATCTGCCAATTGTATGGCATAGAAAGAAAAGATTAAATATTTATGTCTCATTATACAGCCATGCCTGTTTCACGGTTAAATGTGGCTTATATTTTCATTTTGATAATTTTTTGATTTATGTAATTTTGCCTCCATTTCAAAATTTCAATCTGGGCTCCACAGCCGGTCGTCTTGGAAATCCCTGCATTTAACATTAATGGTGTACACTGTAATACAAATAAATATAAAGTCAAAAGCGCCATATTATGCCATCTTGAAATGGAAATTAATACTAATGAAGCAGCAACAGTCAAAGAATTCTGTTTGTGTTTTCGTTCTAATTCAATCTGCAGTCTGAATATACAATTATCTGTTTTCAATACAGAAAGTCTGAAATGTGAAAGAAGCTGCATTAATAAAGATTGTCATAACCTAAACTTTGCTTGGCTACATATACACATATTATAATTGTCAAATTCTCATAAGAAAGNAACCAAGTAAAAAAAAGAATTTAAAGCAATGAATTGAAGATTTTTCTGGCTACACTACAGTCCATGGAGTTCACTTGTCATTGGACCTGACAGAGGGATTGTACGTCGAATTTTCTGGTTGCTCTTGATCCTGACAGGTTTGGGGTTCTTGTCGAAGCAACTTGTAGAAAGCTATAACAAGTTACAAGCGAACGAACATGTTATAACAAGAGATATCATTCCCACCAAAAARCTAGTTTTCCCAGCGATTACTTTTTGCAATCTAAACATGATGAGAAAATCGAGAATTATAGGCACAGATGCAGAGGTTTTTCTGGACAAACTGAACATCTTTAAGAAAGTTTTTTCTCCCAATGAATCAGCAAACAAGACGTTGAGCAGTTCTTTTGATATCGAGAAAGCTGTCAAAGAATTTGGACAYAATGCAAAAGATATGATGAAGGTCTGTACTTGGGATGGAAAATTATGCAATTCCCGTAACGTTACGACAAGATTTTCGCAGATGGTAAGTGAACATTCTCTTAAAACAAACCTTTATTACGCTAGTTCCCCAGCCATACATGCAGTTGATCACTCGATTTAAGGCAGCTATACTATTATTTTACGGACTATTTTAAAGGATGTTATGTATTTGAAGCAAGAAGGTTTCAAGCCAGTTAAGCGAATAATTTATCTCATTTTAAACGAGATTTAAGGAATATAATATGATATTAAACTTTTTTACTAATCTCGAAGCATTTTGTAAAACCCTTAAAGACTTTACATTTCGTAAATTATTGAACCTCTTTTTTTGGTGGAATTAAGTCATGGGATGGGATGCTACAATAGAATGAATGAAACTAAAATCGATAAATCGTAGGAAAATTGGAATAATTTGGGTTGAACACGCTTGAGAAAGCAAGCTCATTAATTCATAAAAACAAACTTTTCACGTGACTATTTCCCTATCCTAAATTTGCACGCAAAGAACGATAAACTACGATCACACTTCACACTGCCCAAAGATCAACGATTCACAATATAAAGTACACTCGGAAGGGAGCGAATCTTCGAAGTGCTCACAATCACCCCAGAGACACTTTTATGCTAATATTACTACACCAGCGTGTTCTTTAATAATCATTCTAACTTTTTGAGAGATTTCTGAGAATTGTTTACAGTTTTCAGTGGTTTTAGAAGACATTATTCCGAACCTACTTTCAAACTAATTCAAAATACGGTCCAACACATACGTCATCGTCCTCTGATAATAAGTTTGGGCTACCTGTGGTTACAATAACGTATCAGTGATTGGAAAAGGTCAATAGACGAAACATGTTTCATTGAAAGTCTTGGTTTTAGTGTGTAAAAAGAGAACGTTTTAAAAATAACAAGTTCACATATGAAATTCTTTAATCATTTAATTATCTATGTTATAATATGGTTGAGTGAAATTGTGCAATTTGCATTGATTGGTTTAGAGGAGTGTTATTTATCCTTAATAGTGGTATTTCAAATTGCACAATTTTATTCAATTATTTTATAAACAAATAATAGCATGCATGTTTTGTACGTGGAATTTGGGATAAATACCACTTGTGATATTCAAAATTGTCACAATTACCACTACAAAACATGCTATTACCTATAAAATCTATATTTTTCCATTTCGTAAAGTTGATAATTTCACTAGTGAGAATAACACATCCGAGGTTCTCTATATAGACACTCACTCGTAAGAGATCTTTTCAAAACTCGAAGATAAAATTCGTATCTCCGCGCGCCCATGTAATATCATCTATTTTTTCACTAACAGTCCGTGCAAATGCAAGAGATCCGTATAGAAGACATTGGAAATAGTTTGATTTTAGTTTTATGAAAATTTCTAACACAGCGTAAAACAATTTCGTACCCAGCGCCACTGTCTCTCTTACTCGCAGGCTCGACGAAAAACTTGAGCGTAAAAGAGATCACGAAAGTCGACTATTGCCATCCAGTATGGTAGATTTTGTACCAATACTCCATTTTACAGTTCCAAGCGCCAGCAGCTTGAAAGGTAGCCGGGTCTATTCCCAAGCAAAGACTTGGTTTTCTTTCAAGATGGCTCTTGAAACTGTATGGAGTATTGATGGAGTATTGATGCAAAAGTCCTTCTATTGTGTTTTTATAGTATGGTCTTTGTCACACGTTCAACCCTGGAAAAGAACACCACCCTCTTCTCTTCTCAACTTCAGTTAAACGGAATCGTGCCCTACACTTATTGCTAGATATTGATGTAGGTGATTACTTTGGAATTACGAGTTACTTCAGTACAGGAATACGAATGGTTATCCACGATCAAGATGAGGAGCCCATGGTGGAGGCCAATGGTATTGATGCTAGTCCAGGTCATATGATAACAATGAACATTGAAAGGAGAGAAGTAAGTTTGGAAATGAAATTCCCATGAAATTGTGAAAGAATTCCCCAATGCACCCGTTCTCAAGTGCAGCAGCTTCAAGATAGCTGGGTTAATTGGTTTACCTGGAGAGGAATTGAACCTCCTAATTATAATTCTAGCAATGTCCTAATCTTAGGGTTTCATAAGTTTCCCTTTATGTTGGTCGTGGGTTCGAATCCCAGCGACGTCGGAAAATTAATTTTTCCAAATTTATTTCCAAGGGTCTTTTCTCCGAATAATCTATTAAGCACTATTCCCTTCCTTTATTTCTATATCATGTTTATCATAGTGCCATGCGGTCCTCATATTCATACATCCCTTTATGTTATACTAGTACATCAGTCTCCCTAGTCCATATAAGTCAGAATGTGGAAGCAGACCTCTCGAAACCTCCAAAAGTTACACGCAAAGCAAGTGCTTGATGGAATGCGAGACCCGTAAAGTGATACGACAATGTGGTTGTAAGCTGCTTGGAATGGCTGACTTACCAGGTACATTGAAAGATTATCGGGTCATTTCAGATCAGAAAGTTATTTTACTTCCATTTTTTCAGGATTTAAGGGTTCGAAGTACTGCAATCCAGAGGAATTAACTTCTTGCTTGTTCGCTAATCTGACCATCGAGGAGGGACAAAACATAGAGACTGTTCTGGCCAAATTTTCCATAACATACGGTATGCACCATAATCGTATTCAATGAATTGTAAATTAAGTCGTCATGGATTGTCTCTGTGCTTGCTGTTTGTGCAAATTTCTCTTGTCCATTTGTCTCGCACATTCCTTTTGTTGACTTCGTTTGATGTTACATGGAAAACCCTTATTGTAGATCGTAACATTTTTGAAATGTTGTTTCTAGATAGTTCTTTCTCAAGCGACAATCCTAAAGAAGAATGCAACTGCCCAAAACCTTGCAAAAAAATCCAATATAAAATTGCACAGCTCAACACAGTGACCGCTCTGTCTGAGTCATTCTGGAATGACTATTACAGTGCGTACAAACAGAATTCGCCTAATGGGGACAGTAACGGATATATAAAAGCAATCGTTGATCGTGAAAGGAAAAGAATCAGGTATTAATTTGGATACTGCATATCACTCAGGAAAGATCCCCTATCCAATCCCTCCCCCATAAAAAAATATTATCGGATGGATCATTTGTCAAAGTTAAAGCTTTTCATCTTTTCCAGGGAAAATTGGCTTACTCTGATCATATATTATGGCGATCTTCACACAGTGAGAACCACGGAAAAAGTTGCTTATGACATGACCGACTTTGGATGTAAGTAAGCGTTTGAGTAAGGAAACAGAGCGTTATCAACCCCCCCTCTCCTTCCACCCTCCCACACACACAATGGGAAAAAGGACAGAGCGATTTGCTCCTCCTACTGATGAATCCACCAAAAACATCACAAGTGGCAATAGCAAAGAAATAGAAAGCAATAAATCAGTTCCAATGTGTCTAAGGGGTACAAAGCACCAAATGAAATCTTCTGTCTGCCTGTCTGTCGTGTCAACAACTTGACATGACTTCTACTTTTGTTGACAAATATGATTTGGAGATGATTGGACTAAATTAAAACTAAATTAGGTTGAAAAATGTGTGGGTTGGTCTTTAGCTTGCAAGTAAATCAATCGATTCAACTAGTGAAATCCAATTTGACCATCAAAGCGCACACAGTGTGCTCGTCGGGTTTTGCGCTTTTCACAATCCCGTTTTGCTTTCGCCTCCTTCCTCATATATATATAATATAAAATGTTTCAGCGGACGTTCGTGGCTATCTTGGTCTGTTTTTGGGATGCAGTGTTCTAACAGTCTTCGAAATATTTGATTTCATCTTATGCTATTACTTGAGCAAACAGAGGGCTAGCTTTGAAGTGGAGCAAGTCAGAGAGACCAATGAAAAAATGTAGTTAAAGTCAAAGTGGCCTACTGCTTTTAGTCAAAAAATGTTTTCTGACTTTTTAGCTAATTACTRTCAGTACAGCTTTTTATTATATAGTTGTTAAAGAATAAAAAAAATTATCTACTGACTGATTTCAAATGTTTTGATTATAATTAACGGAATAGAGGTTTTTCGTAATGGTAMAACAAACTACACCCATTGAAATTCAGGGTAAAACCTTTTGACTATTCCCAAAGACTTACGAATAAAAGCACCCAATAATTTAAATCTATCATTCTATTCGAAATACTAAAACCTTATAAAATAGAAAGCAAGTCTTATTTGTGAAAAGCATTTTCTTGTAGTTTCTTTAGTTATTGATCCTTGCTCCCTCCGCACCATTTTGACTATTAAAATCCTTCCATAATTGAAAATCATCTCTATTCCGTGAAGAACATTTCCTTTGAAAGTGATGTTACCTATAATTGGAATGAAAACCCTTAGAGAGGTGTGATGTCCTGGTATTTTATCTTATATTCTTGCCCAAAGAATTGATATTTTAATTTGGAAATCGATTGCATTTCGATCACAAATACTGTGATTTGGGTTTATGTATGAGTAATAGGATCGCAAGCTGGACAATTTAAAAATTCAAAAATTAGATGAGGATACTGGCCGAATACAATTAAGCAGTCGGAGAGTTTTTTGCGTTTAATTCTTTTTTAAATTAGAGTCCTCCAAAATTTCCAGTTGAAMAGTTAGGATTCCAAGACGTAACCTTGGCTACTAAAATAGACAAATATGCGGATCTAASTGTTGGACAACAACTAAAGATAGACTGACTATCTTATCGTAAACAGTTGACAATATTTGATTTCTATACTGGTACCTGTATTATGACATTTCACAGCTGCAGGAATTCGTAAATATACAGCTTACTTAAGTGAATTGTTATTACGTAATCTAAATTGAAATTTTTAAAGCAAT